ATTTATATATATATTCTTAAACACTTTTTTATTCGAAATACCCATCTATAAGGCAGTGTCGCGCGTGTTTTCATTTTAGGCTAGTCGTGTCCTTCCGTGGTTATTGCTCGGCGTCTTGATTCAGTAACGCTCGAGTCCCTTGGTAACACTCGACTCTAGCTCTTAATAGCGATCGACTTCCGAAGGCCGACAGCGCGAATAAATTCCCGAATGTGCGAATGCCCGACTGCCGCGATTAGAGGCTCGCTGGGCCTACTATTAGCTTGCTCCCCACCTGTCGATGCATTCTTGATAAAGTAGCCTCGCTGTTGCCAGGGAGAGTCAGTATGATATGCCTTGCGTATCGTACGTTACAATACACAATAAGCGTTTTAACGGAAGTTTTAATTTGTAAAGTGCGGAAAAAAAACTCTTTTTGACCGTTTTAATCAACTTAGAACTACCCAGGATAAACACTTTTCACGGTGGAAATTTTGTAGATTAAACAAAAATTTAAGTAGAGGATAAATTCGCAAGTAAGGAGGAATCGTTTAAGCTCTGAATGGGTGCAAAATATTAATATTTAATATTTACGGGCGCCAACTTCACAAGTCTCTACGACTGACTGACCCCCCACCATTAGCAATGTGCGAGACAGTTAGATACCCACGCCCGATGTTGTATCTCTTTCCACTCGTGCTTCCGTACCGTACATGAGAACAAGCAGTAAATTATTGATTTGTTCGCAAGACCAAGGTTTGGCGACCCCGGGTCTTCTAAAATAACAATATAGATATACAATGGCTATGTATTTTTGGTAAAGGAAGATTAGTATAGAGTGTCAGATTTCGGTTTCAGAACAAATCTTGTCTATGGGCGTACGTTAGGTGAGGTAAGGGAAAACAGTAAATAAACTCGGTACTTTTGTAACCCCTTACGTGTATTCATTGTTGCGAAAAGAGTTGGAGTCTGTAAAAGACACTTAAAGAATAATACTTGTACATTATACGCGTTCTCGGAAACTTTTAATGAGTCTCTCTAGGTTCGTTTGAGCCCCCCTTGGTTCGGTTCGGTTCGGTCGGTTCTGGGACCAAATAACATACAAAAACACGTGTTCACGAAAGTTGGTTCCAGATTCAAAGGTCCAAGTCCAAGGCCCAAGGCAGTCGGTTCTAGAACCCAACTCTCGTGAACGCGCGTGTTTTTTTATGTTATTTGGTTCCAGAACCGACCGAACCGAACCGAACCGAATCAAGGGGGGGCTTGAACGAACTGTCTGAGTCGCCTAGAGAAAGTCGAGAGTCTCGAGACTAGTCGAGAGTAAGTTTGAACAAACCTAACATATAGCTCGTTACAGTACTCTTGCCCGATGCCCGTATCCGTAATCCGTATCGTATCCCGTAATCATACAGTATCACACTTGTACCCGTTTCCGTTCGCAATGTTCGTAGTACACTTGCAACCTATACACACACGTTGGTAAATTGATGCATGACACAAATCATGCAGCATAGCCTGCACCTGGAGCTTGGGTGTCTCGGATTAGAACTAAGGATACTGAATGCTAGCTCTGTATATATGGTCTAACACTAACTTAACGATTATTTTTGAAGAAAGAACGTCAAGAACGCATATCAATACTAGTTATTTACCGTAAGTTGGCAGAAATTCGTTGTCTAATAGGCTAAAGTGTACTATATTATTCTTGTGATTAAAGGAAAAACCAGGTACGGGGCAGACGACAACAGCGTGCTTTGGTTACTAAGCTGTGTATAGGCGTTTAAACTTTGGCACTTAGCGTCAGTCGTCATCATTTCAATATGAAGCTTGTCGACAACGTTGTCCGTAGCTTTAAAGTGGCGAAGATTTTCCGAGAGAATTCGGACCGTATTAACAGTATTGACTTTTCGACAACCGGTGACACGCTTATTTCGTGCTCTGAAGATGATCAGATTGTTATTTACGATTGCGAAAAAGGTACGCAGATGCGCACTGTCAACTCAAAGAAGTACGGCGTAGATCTTATTCACTTCACTCATGCAAAGAATACGGCGATTCATAGTAGTACCAAGGTCGACGACACAATTCGCTATCTCAGCCTCCATGACAACAAATACATTCGGTACTTTCCTGGTCATACCAAAAAGGTAGTCTCCTTATGCATAAGCCCTATCGAGGATACTTTCCTGTCAGGCTCGCTTGACAAATCACTTCGGCTATGGGACTTGCGCTCGCCTAATTGTCATGGTGTTATGAACGTCTCTGGTCGTCCTGTAGCCGCTTATGATCCTGAGGGCCTTATATTTGCTGCAGGTGTCAATTCCGAGTCGATTAAGCTTTATGACTTACGCAGTTTTGACAAGGGCCCTTTTACTAACTTCAAGCTTGCCCACGAAAAAGAGTGTGACTGGACAGGCCTTAAATTTAGCCGTGATGGTAAGACCATCTTAATATCAACCAATGGTAGTGTTATTCGCCTTATCGATGCCTTTCATGGCACACCCTTGCAAACATTTACGGGGCACCTCAACAATAAGGGCATTCCTATTGAAGCTAGTTTTAGCCCAGACTCGCAATTTGTGTTCAGTGGCTCAACTGATGGTAGAGTACACGTGTGGAATGCTGACACTGGCTACAAGGTTTGCATCCTTAATGGTGATCATCCTGCTCCAGTGCAGTGTGTACAATTTAACCCCAAATACATGATGCTAGCCTCAGCTTGTACAAACATGGCCTTTTGGTTACCTACTGTGGACGACATGGCATAACTCGACTTCCGCAAGAACTAAGTTTTCTATTAAAATACCATTCGTAGCGGCAGTTATATGAAGCTGAAACTAGCAGACAAATTTCAGCAGCCATACCGTCGAATAACAACTTATACCGGGAGTATCCTTAAAACTAACACAAGTACCCTTTTATTTTACTGAATTAGAAAGGTACTTGGTTTTTTTTAAGGGTACCCTAAGTAGAATTTGTTATTTGACGATATTGCTGCTGGAATTTGTCTGCTAGTTTCAGCTTCATGGAGCTATGCCTTCTTTGTCTATGAACTATCCATCCACGAAACTATAACAGCTGGGTCCAAGCAGTAAACTATACTGCAACAGCTAGCGCCAAGTAATTTTTCTATGATTTTGTTCTATTATTGTACACTTAGATAATAGAATATTTTTTATACTTTATTATTGTTAAATTACTGTATATGTTGATGTTGGATGGGTTTGTTGATGTTAATGCTGCCGCTGCTATGTTTACTGCAAAAGACATTGTTTCTTATATGGTAGACACAAATGATGAAGTGACCTACCTGGTTAGCTTGCTGGCTTTTAGATTCAAAATCTTTCATTTTGGTGTAACAGTTACAATACTTCTACATTCTTCCATTTAAATTTATATTCTTCTGACTATCAAAACATTTGATCTCTTCCTAATACTATGTACAGCACAGCTCAATTTTATCACACTGTTTTCAATTATTATGATATATCACCATCACCACTATCATCATCATAATCACATTAACAATCATAATAATAATTGAATAGTAATGTTATAGTTTGAATTATTCTATCAACTTCCATTCTTATTGTTGCTGTCACTAGTACTATTTTTATTACTACTACATCATTACTATGATTGTTCTAAAATTGTTCTAATGATCATGACGAAATCGTCATGATGAAATTGCAAAAAAATTCTGCAGGTAAAATGTACAATTTGTTTCATGAGCAAGAAATTTATTTTTAGCCTATTTAGTGATATTTCATTTTTGTAGGTTTGCTTCTTTGGTTTAGGTATTTATTCTAAATATCAATACCATAAAGTGCTGAAAGCCAGTTCTACAATCTATTATATTAATTCTTAACAATGAAGCAAGCCATTTCTTTCATTACTAAAGACTACTGCAAGAAAGAAAATAAATGGTTAAAGATAAAAGTGTACATAAAGATAGTAATGAGAATGAAGTTATCATCATGAATCCAACAATATTTAGAAAAATAGCAGACTATATTATGACGTCCTCTGGATATTGTTTATCTACTGTAAATATGTACCGCATAATTTTTTCATAAACAATGACTTTGAAATTTAATTTTTCTCCGTGATGATTAAACGAATCCTTGATTTAAAATAAATGATTTCATAATATTAGTCGTGTCACAAATTATTTAAGCAAGCAAGCAGGATGCATCAACGTATAGAGTAGTTAAAATAGCAATATTTAAATTATTTACCTTGTCTTTAATAATTAATTTATCAAATATTTTATATCCTAATGCTTTAGTTTGTTTTCTAATTACATTTGTGATAAAAATATTATTTATGTCTTGATGTTGATGAAAGAGCTGAGAGCATAGGTCAAAGTATGTTACCTGACGTGTAACATATACACCATGTCAGGTAACATGCTTTGACCTATGCACTCAGCTCTTTCATCAACATTAAGACATAAATAATATTTTTATCACACACGTATGTATATGTATATATATATATACGCGCGTGTGTGTGTGTGTGTGTGTGTGTGTGTGTGTGTGTGTGTGTGTGCGTGCGTGCGCGCGCGCTAAAAAACAACAGATGATGTATTTAGAATCGCACAAAGCCAAGTTAAGAGGCCTTTATCAAGAGGTAAATGATAAATTCACACATCTGAAACCTTTTTTTTATATAAAATAGCAATAAAAGTAATGTTCAAAACAATGTAACAAGTGTATTTATTTCTATATTTTATACAACCAACAAACTGATGTATGTATCTATTACAAAAGATTAGAATACTTTCTAGTTTTCTTCTGCTAAGTAATAAATTTTTCTGTTAATTTATAAAAATTGTAAGTATATACCCAAGTTCAACGTGTTTCGTCCCGGAGCTGTTGGTGGACTCATCAGTAAGTCATACCCAATTGCCATCTACTTGGGGTGCTCACACTAAACTAGAACTTCCTTTTATACTAACTGATAGACAATCCTGCCACTTGCGGATAAGCCCAAGGAAGAGGTGACACGCCTAGCGGACAGTTAGCGAAGTATCACCTAATGATTCCGGAGTCCCCCACATGCACAGATTAACTTTATTGACTTGCGGTTAACTTAAGAGTTCAAAAACTTAGTCAGGAAATCTTCAAATTGGCATGTTTCAAAATAATGTATCTTATAAAACCATTCCGAAGGTTTGCCTAAAAAAACATTTAATACACAGTTATATTCAACGTCATCGATACGTAATAACATGAAAACGTCACAGTTTTATTAACACCAATCTTTTTAAATTAAAAAATACACTATATATAATTCAAATTATACATATATAAGGGAACGGTGCTTACAATATTCCGCCACCACCCTAACTTAGATATGTTGCTATCACTTCTAAAAACAGTCAGCTGATAAATCAGCTGATTTCTGATGCCAAATCGTCAGCAGATTTTTTGACTGTGCGAAAAAATACAAGTCCCATTAGTGCGAAAAATATAAACCCTAAGGGAAAAAATTTTTTTTTTGCCATCATTAAAACTGCATTCTGCAGGGACTCTTACAATAGAATGAGGAAGGGAAAAATTGAGATGAGATTCGGAAACATTTAAAAAAATTACAAGTTCCGAGCGCTAAAAAAAGGTAAATTAGCTGATTTGTGTACCTTCCGGTAAACTTATAGTTGATTAAAACAGTCCAAAATAGTAATTTTTTGTCGCACTTTAAATTATAGTGTAGCTTCATTCGAGCGGAAAAATACAAGTACTTACTACAAAACATCAAAATTTTTATGATAAAATGTGAGCCTTGTGAGGAGTTTTAAGTTGATTAAAACCATACAGAAAAGTAATTTTTCGACACACCGTGCGCGGGGACCTCGATTATGAGCCATTTGTTGTAGGTTGTAACTCTAAAGACCTCGATTTACACACGCAAGTCACAACTCGTCCGAGTGCGTGTGTACGTCGAGATCTTTGCAGAGCCACATTAGATGGATTATAATCTCGTTCCCCGCGTAGGATGTGTCGAAAAGTTGTATACACCACCGCGCACTAGTATCTTACTGTACTATTTTCCTCAGTTTGAAAATTTTTTTTCAGTTCTATTTGAGTGATAAAACACAACTACTACCCAACAGCGTGAAAAAATACAAGTTCTGACTCAGAAAATCCAAAATTTCCACCGTGAAAAGTGTTTATTCTGGGTAGTTCTAAGTTGATTAAAACGGTCAAAAAGAGTTTTTTTTCCGCACTTTACAAATTAAAACTTCCGTTAAAACGCTTATTGTGTATTGTAACGTACGATACGCAAGGCATATCATACTGACTCTCCCTGGCAACAGCGAGGCTACTTTATCAAGAATGCATCGACAGGTGGGGAGCAAGCTAATAGTAGGCCCAGCGAGCCTCTAATCGCGGCAGTCGGGCATTCGCACATTCGGGAATTTATTCGCGCTGTCGGCCTTCGGAAGTCGATCGCTATTAAGAGCTAGAGTCGAGTGTTACCAAGGGACTCGAGCGTTACTGAATCAAGACGCCGAGCAATAACCACGGAAGGACACGACTAGCCTAAAATGAAAACACGCGCGACACTGCCTTATAGATGGGTATTTCGAATAAAAAAGTGTTTAAGAATATATATATATATATACTGTTCATTCTCGCAACGCACCTCCTTACCAATATCTTCCCTACGTAACAGTTTTGGTGCTAAGTGTGGGTCTGGTAAAAGTCGGAATTAATTTTTTTTTTTATTGCACGCGTTTAAAAAAAAATCCCGCTGAGAAGCACACATAGTGCACTCCCGCGAGAATACGACGATTGAAAATCGGGAAGCCGAGGAGCCGATCGAAGACGACGGTTCCGGTCATATTTGATAAGCAGCGGTGACAACAGCCTGGAAGCCAACAGGACCAGGATACCAATTGCAGATAATCTCAGGATAAAGGAAACAAGCGGTGAGCGCTGAAGAGAAATGGTTGCCAAAATTTTATTAATAATATTCTTGATGAAGTGCATATCTACGAGCACGTAAGTGCATTTATAATAAAATTAATTTTATCCTTTACCCCCGAGGCAAGATAAGGAAGGCGCTCACTAAGTGAAGATTAGGTCGTGGGAAATTTTTATATTGATATATATGTATATTTTTTATTTCGTTCGCTCCTCGTTTTAGTGTGTTCTTTAAAAAAAAAAAAAAACCCGAAACAAAAATCACGTGAAATAACAGACTTAAATAAGCAGTGGGCTAGGAAAATTTTTGCACAACGAACGTAAATCAGAGAGATTTTATTAGTAGGCTTGGTAAGACACAGGAAACATCCGGAAATTACTACTCACACCCATATCGGCTGAAGAAAAAATTTATTCTTAAAGAAGTGCATATCTACGAGCACGTAAGTGCATTTATAATAATTTTTTTTTTTTTTTTTTTTTTTTTTTTTTTTCTTTTTTTTTTTT